GTTGAAAGTTGATGAAACTCCGAATTGCCCTCCAAGGTCAACTTTCTTTTCCATGATTTGAAAAGGCCCTTCTGCCCTAGGCATCAATTTGTGTTTCCTTTGTTTAGGAAACCTTTCTTTGCGCAAGAATATCCACACAAGATCACCCACTTCGAACTTCTTCATATTTCTCAAGTTTTTGTTAGCTTGCTTCTTGTATGACTCATTTGCCTTTTCTATGTTCTTCCTAACTTCTTTATGGACATCAATCATGAATTCGATATGCTCCTTGGCTGTCCCATGCACGAACTTATCTTTAGGAAGAGAAATGTAATCAATCGGCACATAAGGATTCACACCATACACAACTTCAAAAGGTGAATACTTTGTAGTTTTGCTTGGAGTTCTATTGTAGGCAAACTCTGCATGAGCTAACTTCAAGTCCCAATCTTTACCTCCCTTATTCACTAAGGCACGAAGCAAAGAACCAAGAATTCGGTTCACCACTTCGGTTTGACCATCTTTTTGTGGATGATGGCTTGTTGAGAAAAGTAGCTTAGTACCCACGAGCCTCCACAAGGACTTCCAAAAATGACTCACAAACGTAGTGTCACGATCCGAAACTATGGTTCTAGGCAAACCATGTAATCTAGCCACTTCCTTAAAAAAAAGTTGCGCCACATTGAACGCATCATCCACCTTCTTACAAGCTATGAAATGAGCCATCTTTGAAAACCGATCAACGGCCACCATGATAGAATCTTTACAACGAGCTGTTCTAGGCAAGGCCAATATGAAATCCATACTCAAATCTTCCCAAGGTCTTTTGGGAATGGGTAAAGGCTTATACTCTCCCTTATGAAACGTCATTTTGGCTCTTTGACAAATAGAACACCTAGCCAAAACTTGGTGCACATTAGCTAACATTTTTGGCCAATAAAAATGACTTTGTAAGATTTCTAGGGTCTTTTGTATACCCATATGACCAGCAAGTCCTCCTCCATGAGCTTCCTTGATCAACAACTCTCGAATTGCACCTTTAGGAACACAAAGTTTGTTCCCTTTGAAAAGGAAACCATCTACTATGACAAATGAACCGTGGACTCCATTTTTGCAAGACTCCATGATTTCCTTGAGTTCAAGATCATCTTTGTATGATTCCTTCATGACCTCGAAACCAAGAATTTTAGTTTCCATGATTCCAAGAAGATTATGCCTTCTTGATAATGCATCTGCCACAATATTGGTTTTGCCCTTCTTGTACTTGGTTGCAAAGTTGAAAGATTGTAGGAATTCCACCCACTTAGCATGCCTTGCATTCAACTTCTTTTGCCCATGAATGAACCTTAAAGATTCATGATCCGAATGTGAGATGAAAGGTTGTGGCCTCAAATAATGTGACCAATGATCCAAAGCTCAAACCATGGCATAGAGTTCTTTGTCATAAGTGGAGTAATTTAATTTGCCTTGGCTCAATTTCTCACTAAAATACGCAATTGGCTTCTTTTCTTGGATTAGAACAGCCCCTATTCCTTTTCCACTTGCATCACACTCAACTTCAAATGGTTTCATGAAATCTGGAAGGGCTAGAACCGGCGCTTCACACATCTTTTTCTTCACCAACTCAAACGCCTTTTGAGCCTGTGGAGTCCATTGAAAACTTCCCTTCTTTGTACATTCGGTGATGGGAGCCATAAGGGTGCTAAAATGTTCAATAAACCGCCTATAGAACGAAGTAAGTCCATGAAATGAACGAACCTCCGTGACTGTTTTTGGAATTGGCCATGAAGAAATGGCTTCCACTTTGCTTGGATCAACTTTAATTCCTTCACCTGAAATAATATAACCAAGGAAAACAATATCCGTTAGCAAAAAATGGCATTTCTCCAATTTTCCATACAATTGTTGCTCTCTCAAGGTTTTGAAAATCTCTTCCAAATGTTTCAAGTGCTCCTCCTCATTTTTACTATAGATGAGAATGTCATCTAAGTAAACAACTACGAACTTCCCCAAAAATGGCCTCAACATTTCGTTCATAAGTCTCATGAAGGTGCTTGGAGCATTTGTTAATCCAAATGGCATAACAAGCCACTCATACAAACCATGCTTAGTTTTAAAGGCTGTTTTCCACTCATCACCTTCCCTCATTCTAATTTGGTGATATCCACTCCTCAAATCTATCTTGGAAAACACTTGAGCTCCACTCAACTCATCTAACATATCATCAAGTCTAGGAATAGGAAACCTATACTTAATGGTTATGTTATTCACCGCCCTACTATCAATACACATCCTCCATGTTCCATCCTTTTTTGGCACTAACAAAGCTGGAACGGCACAAGGACTCATGGATTCTCTCACGTAACCCATTTGAATCAACTCCTCAATTTGTCTTTGTAATTCCTTAGTTTCCATGGGATTGCATCTATAAGGGGGTTTATTTGGAAGGGGGGCTCCCGGAATCAAATCTATTTGATGCTCTATACCACGAATAGGAGGCAACCCTTGTGGTAATTCATTAGGAAAAACATCTTCATACTCCTTGATCAATGCGGCTAGCCTAGGGTTTTGTTGGACAAAACCTTCGTGTTCCTCTTTAGAAAACAATAAGAACACTTCATCTTCCTTCTCCAAAGAGTTTTCGAATTCTTTTAAGGAAAGCAACAAAATGTCCTTTCTTTTGGGTTCTTTTTGTGGTGGTGGGGATTGTGTTTGGGAAAGGCTTTTTTGTGGTGGTAAGGGGTGCAACACTTTCTTGCTGCCTTGGTGAGTAATGGTGTAGGTGTTTGATAGGCCATCATGTACTGATTTTTTGTCACTTTGCCATGGCCTCCCTAACAAAATGTGACAAGCATCCATGGGAATGACATCACATAAAATTTCATCCACATACGAACCAATCTGAAATTTTACTAGACATTGTTTTCTAACCCCCGTACTCTTGCTCTTATCAAGCCAACTCAACTTGTAAGGAGTAGGATGTCTAGTGGTCTCCAAGTCAAGTTTCGTAACAAGATCACTTGACACAACATTAGCTTCACTGCCACTATCAACAATCAAGTCACACACATCTTCATTAACCTTGCATTTGGTTAAGAAGACATTCTCTCTTTGAATTGGGGTTTTCTCAACCTCCACGTGCATTTGGAGGGCTCTCCTCATTACTAGACTATTTTTTTCGGGAAAACAGTCATCAACTTGCTCCTCCTCCTCATTAGAATCATAAGACTCTAAAGGTACATTTTCACTACCATTTTCGTCCTCCTTCTCTTCTTCAAGGACAAAAGGTTGTGCCATCATATTCTTAAGCTCTCGTATGGTTAAAGCTCTTGCATTAGGACAATCTCTCTTGTAGTGTCCTCTTCCGTGACATTTGAAACAAACAATGTCACTTAAGTCTCCGGTTTTGGCTTTTCCTTTTTCTTTTTGTGAAAGATCAAACGAGGTAGGGTTCTTTTTGGTAGTGGAATTTGGAAAGGAAGGGGTTTCTTTTGGTGGGTTAAATGGACGTTTGAATTTTGGGTCAAAAGGGTTCGAAGGTTTCTTCTTCTTCTTTTGATTGTCAAATTTCACCGAAAGCTTACAAGCTTCATCAAAGGTCAGATTGGGTTGCACTTCTACTTTCTCATAAATGTCCTTATCCAAACCAGCCATAAACCTCCCTAATTTGAGTTCTTCATTTTCCACTATTTCGCACACAATGGAAAGTTTCTCAAATTCTTTAATGTATTCCTCCACACTACTCCCTCCTTGCTGCAAAGTACTCCATTTCACATACATGGATTGCTTGTAATTAGAAGGAACAAATCGTCCCCTAAGTTTCTTCCTAAGCTTGGTCCATGTAGAAATACGAGTTTTCCCATTGCTTTCTCGTTTTCTTTGGACTCCTTTCAACCAAGTTTCAGCATACTTGGCTATCTTTACCTTAGCAATCTTGTACTTTTGTTCATATTCCTCAACGTCTTTGAACTCAAAGTACCTCTCAAGTGATTGCTCCCACTCCAAGTACTTCTCAGGGTCAAGAGTACCATCAAAAAGGTCTACATCCACCTTTAGACTCTTGTCATCATATCTAGGAGGGTTTTGACGCCCATCCCTTTGTTCTTGTGTCAACAAACGAGCCATTAGAGCCATTATATTACCATGTAATTGCTCATTGGTTTCCAAGAGTCTTTGTTGGTTTTCCTCCATAATTCTAAGTCTCCTTTGGTCAATGGTTTCATTTGGGTTTGCTTGATCCATTTGGACAGAAACTTCCCCTACCTGACGCGCCAAATGATTTAAAAACTAAAAGAAAGTCTTAATTAATACAAGCTTAATGGATCAAACTTAAGTGGAAAGAAACAAAGGTTGGTGTTTTAAGTCAAATTACGGGTAAGGTTTGTAGGTTGTTTTGGAAATGGTTAAGGAACGTTTTTTTTTTAGAGGGAAGAAGGATTAGTTTGTAAGGATTACTCACTTAAACAAACAAGATATGTAGGCAAGGATTACTCACTTAAAACCCACTAGTTGTTTAATTTGCATGGAAGGAAAACTCACTTAACCACTCAAATTCGTCAAGTTAAACTTGGTAACAAAAACGATTTATCTTAGCAACAAGAATAAATAGTTTTTAAGGAGAAAACTTTCTTAATTCATATATCATAATCTGCCATACACTTACATTGCATAAGCTTAAATAAAGAAAGCAAACTAGTACTAAACTACACGCATTAAACAAGCTTAATGTGTGTTTATTGTAACTAAACATGAAAGCTAAAACCTAGCCTAGAATCACGCCTAAGTTAAACAGATTTTCTTAACTGATTTTAGGCTTTAATCACCCTTAATTAACCTCTTAAAAACTGCTGAAAAGAAGCTTAAGCACAGCCATAAAGAACCAGCAAAAACGTGGAGTAACCTCCCCTTGATTCATGCCTTTCTTTATGCTGAATGTTTATGACTTGCAATGAAGTTTCTCCTTGCTTCAAGGACGCCTTTTCCTATGCCTAAGGCTGAAGAAAACGTGCCTAGGATGCCCACTAATATTCATAACCAGAATGTAAACAAGTAAACCCTTGGTTAGCAAGAAACGGTCCATGCGCACAAAAAGTATCTAACACTTGATCTTCAAATGACTTAGCAAGAATGATTTCTTTGTGAATTGGACTTGTAGGATGATCATGCTTGTTTGGACTAATGGACTCGTCATGATTTGCATCATCCTCCCCTTCTTCGAAAGGAGTTTCCCTCAACTCATCATCTTCTAGATAAGGAGCCAAGTCACCCACGTTGAAAGTTGATGAAACTCCGAATTGCCCTCCAAGGTCAACTTTCTTTTCCATGATTTGAAAAGGCCCTTCTGCCCTAGGCATCAATTTGTGTTTCCTTTGTTTAGGAAACCTTTCTTTGCGCAAGAATATCCACACAAGATCACCCACTTCGAACTTCTTCATATTTCTCAAGTTTTTGTTAGCTTGCTTCTTGTATGACTCATTTGCCTTTTCTATGTTCTTCCTAACTTCTTTATGGACATCAATCATGAATTCGATATGCTCCTTGGCTGTCCCATGCACGAACTTATCTTTAGGAAGAGAAATGTAATCAATCGGCACATAAGGATTCACACCATACACAACTTCAAAAGGTGAATACTTTGTAGTTTTGCTTGGAGTTCTATTGTAGGCAAACTCTGCATGAGCTAACTTCAAGTCCCAATCTTTACCTCCCTTATTCACTAAGGCACGAAGCAAAGAACCAAGAATTCGGTTCACCACTTCGGTTTGACCATCTTTTTGTGGATGATGGCTTGTTGAGAAAAGTAGCTTAGTACCCACGAGCCTCCACAAGGACTTCCAAAAATGACTCACAAACGTAGTGTCACGATCCGAAACTATGGTTCTAGGCAAACCATGTAATCTAGCCACTTCCTTAAAAAAAAGTTGCGCCACATTGAACGCATCATCCACCTTCTTACAAGCTCTGAAATGAGCCATCTTTGAAAACCGATCAACGGCCACCATGATAGAATCTTTACAACGAGCTGTTCTAGGCAAGGCCAATATGAAATCCATACTCAAATCTTCCCAAGGTCTTTCGAGAATGGGTAAAGGCTTATACTCTCCCTTATGAAACGTCATTTTGGCTCTTTGACAAATAGAACACCTAGCCAAAACTTGGTGCACATTAGCTAACATTTTTGGCCAATAAAAATGACTTTGTAAGATTTCTAGGGTCTTTTGTATACCCATATGACCAGCAAGTCCTCCTCCATGAGCTTCCTTGATCAACAACTCTCGAATTGCACCTTTAGGAACACAAAGTTTGTTCCCTTTGAAAAGGAAACCATCTACTATGACAAATGAACCGTGGACTCCATTTTTGCAAGACTCCATGATTTCCTTGAGTTCAAGATCATCTTTGTATGATTCCTTCATGACCTCGAAACCAAGAATTTTAGTTTCCATGATTCCAAGAAGATTATGCCTTCTTGATAATGCATCTGCCACAATATTGGTTTTGCCCTTCTTGTACTTGGTTGCAAAGTTGAAAGATTGTAGGAATTCCACCCACTTAGCATGCCTTGCATTCAACTTCTTTTGCCCATGAATGAACCTTAAAGATTCATGATCCGAATGTGAGATGAAAGGCTGTGGCCTCAAATAATGTGACCAATGATCCAAAGCTCAAACCATGGCATAGAGTTCTTTGTCATAAGTGGAGTAATTTAATTTGCCTTGGCTCAATTTCTCACTAAAATACGCAATTGGCTTCTTTTCTTGGATTAGAACAGCCCCTATTCCTTTTCCACTTGCATCACACTCAACTTCAAATGGTTTCATGAAATCTGGAAGGGCTAGAACCGGCGCTTCACACATCTTTTTCTTCACCAACTCAAACGCCTTTTGAGCCTGTGGAGTCCATTGAAAACTTCCCTTCTTTGTACATTCGGTGATGGGAGCCATAAGGGTGCTAAAATGTTCAATAAACCGCCTATAGAACGAAGTAAGTCCATGAAATGAACGAACCTCCGTGACTGTTTTTGGAATTGGCCATGAAGAAATGGCTTCCACTTTGCTTGGATCAACTTTAATTCCTTCACCTGAAATAATATAACCAAGGAAAACAATATCCGTTAGCAAAAAATGGCATTTCTCCAATTTTCCATACAATTGTTGCTCTCTCAAGGTTTTGAAAATCTCTTCCAAATGTTTCAAGTGCTCCTCCTCATTTTTACTATAGATGAGAATGTCATCTAAGTAAACAACTACGAACTTCCCCAAAAATGGCCTCAACATTTCGTTCATAAGTCTCATGAAGGTGCTTGGAGCATTTGTTAATCCAAATGGCATAACAAGCCACTCATACAAACCATGCTTAGTTTTAAAGGCTGTTTTCCACTCATCACCTTCCCTCATTCTAATTTGGTGATATCCACTCCTCAAATCTATCTTGGAAAACACTTGAGCTCCACTCAACTCATCTAACATATCATCAAGTCTAGGAATAGGAAACCTATACTTAATGGTTATGTTATTCACCGCCCTACTATCAATACACATCCTCCATGTTCCATCCTTTTTTGGCACTAACAAAGCTGGAACGGCACAAGGACTCATGGATTCTCTCACGTAACCCATTTGAATCAACTCCTCAATTTGTCTTTGTAATTCCTTAGTTTCCATGGGATTGCATCTATAAGGGGGTTTATTTGGAAGGGGGGCTCCCGGAATCAAATCTATTTGATGCTCTATACCACGAATAGGAGGCAACCCTTGTGGTAATTCATTAGGAAAAACATCTTCATACTCCTTGATCAATGCGGCTAGCCTAGGGTTTTGTTGGACAAAACCTTCGTGTTCCTCTTTAGAAAACAATAAGAACACTTCATCTTCCTTCTCCAAAGAGTTTTCGAATTCTTTTAAGGAAAGCAACAAAATGTCCTTTCTTTTGGGTTCTTTTTGTGGTGGTGGGGATTGTGTTTGGGAAAGGCTTTTTTGTGGTGGTAAGGGGTGCAACACTTTCTTGCTGCCTTGGTGAGTAATGGTGTAGGTGTTTGATAGGCCATCATGTACTGATTTTTTGTCACTTTGCCATGGCCTCCCTAACAAAATGTGACAAGCATCCATGGGAATGACATCACATAAAATTTCATCCACATACGAACCAATCTGAAATTTTACTAGACATTGTTTTCTAACCCCCGTACTCTTGCTCTTATCAAGCCAACTCAACTTGTAAGGAGTAGGATGTCTAGTAGTCTCCAAGTCAAGTTTCGTAACAAGATCACTTGACACAACATTAGCTTCACTGCCACTATCAACAATCAAGTCACACACATCTTCATTAACCTTGCATTTGGTTAAGAAGACATTCTCTCTTTGAATTGGGGTTTTCTCAACCTCCACGTGCATTTGGAGGGCTCTCCTCATTACTAGACTATTTTTTTCGGGAAAACAGTCATCAACTTGCTCCTCCTCCTCATTAGAATCATAAGACTCTAAAGGTACATTTTCACTACCATTTTCGTCCTCCTTCTCTTCTTCAAGGACAAAAGGTTGTGCCATCATATTCTTAAGCTCTCGTATGGTTAAAGCTCTTGCATTAGGACAATCTCTCTTGTAGTGTCCTCTTCCGTGACATTTGAAACAAACAATGTCACTTAAGTCTCCGGTTTTGGCTTTTCCTTTTTCTTTTTGTGAAAGATCAAACGAGGTAGGGTTCTTTTTGGTAGTGGAATTTGGAAAGGAAGGGGTTTCTTTTGGTGGGTTAAATGGACGTTTGAATTTTGGGTCAAAAGGGTTCGAAGGTTTCTTCTTCTTCTTTTGATTGTCAAATTTCACCGAAAGCTTACAAGCTTCATCAAAGGTCAGATTGGGTTGCACTTCTACTTTCTCATAAATGTCCTTATCCAAACCAGCCATAAACCTCCCTAATTTGAGTTCTTCATTTTCCACTATTTCGCACACAATGGAAAGTTTCTCAAATTCTTTAATGTATTCCTCCACACTACTCCCTCCTTGCTGCAAAGTACTCCATTTCACATACATGGATTGCTTGTAATTAGAAGGAACAAATCGTCCCCTAAGTTTCTTCCTAAGCTTGGTCCATGTAGAAATACGAGTTTTCCCATTGCTTTCTCGTTTTCTTTGGACTCCTTTCAACCAAGTTTCAGCATACTTGGCTATCTTTACCTTAGCAATCTTGTACTTTTGTTCATATTCCTCAACGTCTTTGAACTCAAAGTACCTCTCAAGTGATTGCTCCCACTCCAAGTACTTCTCAGGGTCAAGAGTACCATCAAAAAGGTCTACATCCACCTTTAGACTCTTGTCATCATATCTAGGAGGGTTTTGACGCCCATCCCTTTGTTCTTGTGTCAACAAACGAGCCATTAGAGCCATTATATTACCATGTAATTGCTCATTGGTTTCCAAGAGTCTTTGTTGGTTTTCCTCCATAATTCTAAGTCTCCTTTGGTCAATGGTTTCATTTGGGTTTGCTTGATCCATTTGGACAGAAACTTCCCCTACCTGACGCGCCAAATGATTTAAAAACTAAAAGAAAGTCTTAATTAATACAAGCTTAATGGATCAAACTTAAGTGGAAAGAAACAAAGGTTGGTGTTTTAAGTCAAATTACGGGTAAGGTTTGTAGGTTGTTTTGGAAATGGTTAAGGAACGTTTTTTTTAGAGGGAAGAAGGATTAGTTTGTAAGGATTACTCACTTAAACAAACAAGATATGTAGGCAAGGATTACTCACTTAAAACCCACTAGTTGTTTAATTTGCATGGAAGGAAAACTCACTTAACCACTCAAATTCGTCAAGTTAAACTTGGTAACAAAAACGATTTATCTTAGCAACAAGAATAAATAGTTTTTAAGGAGAAAACTTTCTTAATTCATATATCATAATCTGCCATACACTTACATTGCATAAGCTTAAATAAAGAAAGCAAACTAGTACTAAACTACACGCATTAAACAAGCTTAATGTGTGTTTATTGTAACTAAACATGAAAGCTAAAACCTAGCCTAGAATCACGCCTAAGTTAAACAGATTTTCTTAACTGATTTTAGGCTTTAATCACCCTTAATTAACCTCTTAAAAAACTGCTGAAAAGAAGCTTAAGCACAGCCATAAAGAACCAGCAAAAACGTGGAGTAACCTCCCCTTGATTCATGCCTTTCTTTATGCTGAATGTTTTATGACTTGCAATGAAGTTTCTCCTTGCTTCAAGGACGCCTTTTCCTATGCCTAAGGCTGAAGAAAACGTGCCTAGGATGCCCACTAATATTCATAACCAGAATGTAAACAAGTAAACCCTTGGTTAGCAAGAAACGGTCCATGCGCACAAAAAAGTATCTAACACTTGATCTTCAAATGACTTAGCAAGAATGATTTCTTTGTGAATTGGACTTGTAGGATGATCATGCTTGTTTGGACTAATGGACTCGTCATGATTTGCATCATCCTCCCCTTCTTCGAAAGGAGTTTCCCTCAACTCATCATCTTCTAGATAAGGAGCCAAGTCACCCACGTGAAAGTTGATGAAACTCCGAATTGCCCTCCAAGGTCAACTTCTTTTCCATGATTTGAAAAGGCCCTTCTGCCCTAGGCATCAATTTGTGTTTCCTTTGTTTAGGAAACCTTTCTTTGCGCAAGAATATCCACACAAGATCACCCACTTCGAACTTCTTCATATTTCTCAAGTTTTTGTTAGCTTGCTTCTTGTATGACTCATTTGCCTTTTCTATGTTCTTCCTAACTTCTTTATGGAACATCAATCATGAATTCGATATGCTCCTTGGCTGTCCCATGCACGAACTTATCTTTAGGAAGAGAAATGTAATCAATCGGCACATAAGGATTCACACCATACACAACTTCAAAAGGTGAATACTTTGTAGTTTTGCTTGGAGTTCTATTGTAGGCAAACTCTGCATGAGCTAACTTCAAGTCCCAATCTTTACCTCCCTTATTCACTAAGGCACGAAGCAAAGAACCAAGAATTCGGTTCACCACTTCGGTTTGACCATCTTTTTGTGGATGATGGCTTGTTGAGAAAAGTAGCTTAGTACCCACGAGCCTCCACAAGGACTTCCAAAAATGACTCACAAACTTAGTGTCACGATCCGAAACTATGGTTCTAGGCAAACCATGTAATCTAGCCACTTCCTTAAAAAAAAGTTGCGCCACATTGAACGCATCATCCACCTTCTTACAAGCTATGAAATGAGCCATCTTTGAAAACCGATCAACGGCCACCATGATAGAATCTTTACAACGAGCTGTTCTAGGCAAGGCCATATGAAATCCATACTCAAATCTTCCCAAGGTCTTTCGGGAATGGGTAAAGGCTTATACTCTCCCTTATGAAACGTCATTTTGGCTCTTTGACAAATAGAACACCTAGCCAAAACTTGGTGCACATTAGCTAACATTTTTGGCCAATAAAAATGACTTTGTAAGATTTCTAGGGTCTTTTGTATACCCATATGACCAGCAAGTCCTCCTCCATGAGCTTCCTTGATCAACAACTCTCGAATTGCACCTTTAGGAACACAAAGTTTGTTCCCTTTGAAAAGGAAACCATCTACTATGACAAATGAACCGTGGACTCCATTTTTGCAAGACTCCATGATTTCCTTGAGTTCAAGATCATCTTTGTATGATTCCTTCATGACCTCGAAACCAAGAATTTTAGTTTCCATGATTCCAAGAAGATTATGCCTTCTTGATAATGCATCGCCACAATATTGGTTTTGCCCTTCTTGTACTTGGTTGCAAAGTTGAAAGATTGTAGGAATTCCACCCACTTAGCATGCCTTGCATTCAACTTCTTTTGCCCATGAATGAACCTTAAAGATTCATGATCCGAATGTAAGATGAAAGGCTGTGGCCTCAAATAATGTGACCAATGATCCAAAGCTCAAACCATGGCATAGAATTCTTTGTCATAAGTGGAGTAATTTAATTTGCCTTGGCTCAATTTCTCACTAAAATACGCAATTGGCTTCTTTTCTTGGATTAGACAGCCCCTATTCCTTTTCCACTTGCATCACACTCAACTTCAAATGGTTTCATGAAATCTGGAAGGCTAGAACCGGCGCTTCACACATCTTTTTCTTCACCAACTCAAACGCCTTTTGAGCCTGTGGAGTCCATTGAAAACTTCCCTTCTTTGTACATTCGGTGATGGGAGCCATAAGGGTGCTAAAATGTTCAATAAACCGCCTATAGAACGAAGTAAGTCCATGAAATGAACGAACCTCCGTGACTGTTTTTGGAATTGGCCATGAAGAAATGGCTTCCACTTTGCTTGGATCAACTTTAATTCCTTCACCTGAAATAATATAACCAAGGAAAACAATATCCGTTAGCAAAAAATGGCATTTCTCCAATTTTCCATACAATTGTTGCTCTCTCAAGGTTTTGAAAATCTCTTCCAAATGTTTCAAGTGCTCCTCCTCATTTTTACTATAGATGAGAATGTCATCTAAGTAAACAACTACGAACTTCCCCAAAAATGGCCTCAACATTTCGTTCATAAGTCTCATGAAGGTGCTTGGAGCATTTGTTAATCCAAATGGCATAACAAGCCACTCATACAAACCATGCTTAGTTTTAAAGGCTGTTTTCCACTCATCACCTTCCCTCATTCTAATTTGGTGATATCCACTCCTCAAATCTATCTTGGAAAACACTTGAGCTCCACTCAACTCATCTAACATATCATCAAGTCTAGGAATAGGAAACCTATACTTAATGGTTATGTTATTCACCGCCCTACTATCAATACACATCCTCCATGTTCCATCCTTTTTTGGCACTAACAAAGCTGGAACGGCACAAGGACTCATGGATTCTCTCACGTAACCCATTTGAATCAACTCCTCAATTTGTCTTTGTAATTCCTTAGTTTCCATGGGATTGCATCTATAAGGGGGTTTATTTGGAAGGGGGGCTCCCGGAATCAAATCTATTTGATGCTCTATACCACGAATAGGAGGCAACCCTTGTGGTAATTCATTAGGAAAAACATCTTCATACTCCTTGATCAATGCGGCTAGCCTAGGGTTTTGTTGGACAAAACCTTCGTGTTCCTCTTTAGAAAACAATAAGAACACTTCATCTTCCTTCTCCAAAGAGTTTTCGAATTCTTTTAAGGAAAGCAACAAAATGTCCTTTCTTTTGGGTTCTTTTTGTGGTGGTGGGGATTGTGTTTGGGAAAGGCTTTTTTGTGGTGGTAAGGGGTGCAACACTTTCTTGCTGCCTTGGTGAGTAATGGTGTAGGTGTTTGATAGGCCATCATGTACTGATTTTTTGTCACTTTGCCATGGCCTCCCTAACAAAATGTGACAAGCATCCATGGGAATGACATCACATAAAATTTCATCCACATACGAACCAATCTGAAATTTTACTAGACATTGTTTTCTAACCCCCGTACTCTTGCTCTTATCAAGCCAACTCAACTTGTAAGGAGTAGGATGTCTAGTAGTCTCCAAGTCAAGTTTCGTAACAAGATCACTTGACACAACATTAGCTTCACTGCCACTATCAACAATCAAGTCACACACATCTTCATTAACCTTGCATTTGGTTAAGAAGACATTCTCTCTTTGAATTGGGGTTTTCTCAACCTCCACGTGCATTTGGAGGGCTCTCCTCATTACTAGACTATTTTTTTCGGGAAAACAGTCATCAACTTGCTCCTCCTCCTCATTAGAATCATAAGACTCTAAAGGTACATTTTCACTACCATTTTCGTCCTCCTTCTCTTCTTCAAGGACAAAAGGTTGTGCCATCATATTCTTAAGCTCTCGTATGGTTAAAGCTCTTGCATTAGGA